ACGCACGCAGTACGTGTTTACTATATAGACATAGTCTTTACCTTGCCGTTTAAATGTTTTAGTGTCTGTGGTGTGCACTGGTATGGAAAGCTATGAATAAAATGGCGACAACCTTCAAATGCATTGTTATGCTAATTTGATTTCCAGCATGTTAGTTGACAAAGAAACGAAAGATTTCTTGAATTTTCCCGGCGATAGCCACCTGAATTTGGACCAAAATGTTATCGGCAAGACTCAGAATGCAACAGTGAAAGCCACTGAAACATAATTGAAGGCAAATAAACACGTCGAGCAAAAAAGACTTTTTTCAAGTCGTGGCGTAATATGGAGGTATATAGCATTTTGACTCTTGAGGGGAATATAAATCAGTTGATTTGAGGGTGTCACAATAAGCGAGGGAGCAAATCGTTTTTATGCTATGAAAAAATGAGGGCCTTGATTGAACGTACTTTCTGGACTTTAGTACAATGTCGTTTTTGTTTGATTACCTAACGTTTTTATGTTCTTGTGCTGCAAGTTACCAAGCACATATTTAAGCGACCGTCCCTTGGCAAATAATGAAGCTAAGGCATTTTGGATGTCGAAACCGTGAAACTCTCCCTTTTTACTCAAACTGAGAAGTTCGAATTACTAAACTAAGTATAGGACGACGAAGATGAAATATCAGAGAACCAACACATACCAAAAATTATACCTCAAAAGTGAATATTTGTGGTGTATACCAGACCAGAAATGTGAATTTCTTAGTACTCTAAATATCCAAACATATTTTAGTATAAGGTAGTATGATGATTTTTTTATCCTGTTATTTGCAAAATGCTTATATATAATATATTATTGCAATATTTCAGAATTTTTATATTCAATCTTGCTATTGCAAAAAAATAGAAATTGCATCATTAGTTTTGTTATTCATCCATCCATCCATTTGTTGTTTAATCTAGGTTCAAGATTGTAATAGTAATAATGTGTTTATGATTATTGATAAAATTTGTTGTTACAGTTATTATATTAGTGGATTTCAAGCAAAGCTCCTTAGCATGGGCTAAGAGGTCAAATACCTTAGCCTGTGCGAAAAAAACGTGTGTGAATGCTTTGCACATGCTGAGAAATGCCAAGTATTGATTAAAGCTGGCTCATTTTTAAGATCCAGTCCAGTTCTTTCGCATGGGCACAAGCTAAGCGCCCAAAACGCCATTCTATTCAACATTCATTTGAACAATTTACTATTATATTCATAATTATTCATTTCGGCATGTCATTTCCGACAAGACAATCAATGTGAGTACATCTACGGACATTGTTCTTAAGAAAATATAAAGTAACTATGAGACTGTACCACTTCCCGTTATTCTTCATTCTGCACTTTATGAATTTGCTGTGACTGTCGACAGTCGGTCGTACCTAATAGTGATCTGTTGTTATTAATAAATATTGTGTATAAACGTAACATGCATGAATAAATTGCTGGGAAAGGAAGTATAGAGTGTCGTTAGGCATGACTGACTGTCCGGGGCTGCAATTGACTGGTTAGATTTCTTACCAGATCCGGGTACTTTCATATGCAAATGAAATAGTCGCGGAGATGTCTATCGTTTTATCGTGGCCAATCATGAAAGGGTCAGGGGTCGCTGGCTATACGGATCGCCCGCGACTTACACAAAGTTTGTTTTGACTGTACTGTACTATACGTGATCGTGACACATTCCACAGCAGTTTATGATATCATGACACAAACAAATCTTGATGAATGCATTATAAAAGTGCTGGAATGTTTAGACTACCATGATATTTCTTGCAAAGAATACCAGCGAGACAATATCGCAAACTACACAGAGGGGAGAGATGTGTTCATTAGCGTGCCGTGTTGACATTCGTCTTGTCAAAAAGGACTTGGTTCGAAACCCCACTTTCAGTTGCCATTCTTTTAGAAAAAAATGCCTGAGAATTAATCTCGCTCAGTTTGTTAAAATGTTTTCCTGAACTCATCCATGTTTTTATGCAGAGTCGACGTTCTCAGTCCACATTTTCTGCATGCGTATGAACTGGCAAGATGTGGATCGATCATCTCTGTTATAAAAAATTTGATTTCCTCGCATGTCATAGTTCTGTTGATCCTGCGAAACAGTCTCCTCCTCTGTTTCTTTGGTTATTTAATTGTTTTCTTTGTTATTTTAACTAGAAACCTAGTACGGGGACAATCTTGGGACTAAAGTCCCTCACATGAAATGCCTTCAGCATTTGAATATCTAGGATACACAATTACATTAGGCCCAAGGACTGTCGACAGTCTACTAACATACTGTACTGAGTAATCCTAGTTAAAATGACTGAAGATTTTTGCATATTCTTAACAAGTTTTGGCGTTCCTTAGCCTGTGGTAACCACTGCTTCCTCTGTTGCATGAACCCATTTTGATCAATCTGATATACAAACATACAAGATTAGCTTAAATCTTAGCCCTTGCTTTGTGTAGCGTGAACTCTACTATTGTAACCACAAAGAACAATTTTTAAGTGAAACCTCAACAATATCTTGAAAAATAAACAGACAAGACATGCCAAAATTAAACTTGGTAAAGTGACCAAACTAGTTAATAAAATATCCAAGTTTATGTAACTAAAGAGAAAATGTTTACTCTTGAGAACAAAAACTTCCACAACGATGACGAGGAGGACAGCAGTTTTCTCTTGTATACTTTTTCCTTTATCTAATGATGATAAGGCAAGGTAACAATATTATTAAATACGTCTTTCAGCAAAACAATAGAATTCAGCAGTCAAAAATGTGTACGACTGTTTTCCTCGAGTCAGAGTTGTTATCGATTTGTTAAATCATCATAATGTAGTGTGTGTGTTTCCCTCATAGACACAATCTGCATCTCTCTACAAGAACAGAAGAAAACGAAAAATGAAAGTTTAGAAGTCACTCAGAAACGTGCTAGAGAAATGCTGCAGGAAAATAGAGGTTAATGTCTGCTTTAGTTTTATTTACAGTACAGCTCAAAACTTGCTTACCAAAATGTTAGCCTGGCATGAACGCAAGCCAACGTGATGTTAGCTTTGCGTTAACAAGTGGGTGACATGCCAGGGCATATTCAGCGTTAATTGCCATGCAGTTGTTTCTATTGTTCGTAGTCAAATTAGGTGTAGAGTGTTCTATAAAAACAGAACGGAGGCTTACAATTGTATCTCGTCAGATTCCTGTGGTTATGTATGTCGCGTTTGTGTTGCCAAAGCCAGGAAAGTTTAATTCAGGATTATATTATATTGAATCTGGCAGATATAGACCTTTAACATTGGCTACCAATTTGTTTTCTTGGTAGTTCAAGGCCAGTTCTAGCTGTTACATCAATTGTGAGGTCTTTCTGCAAGGACTCCTGCATCTTTGTAATGCAATTCACTACATTCAATTACCTACCATAGACTCCAGTCAGTCAAAATGACTATTTTGAACTGTAGGCATTATTCTGCGATTCTGCCAATGACAGAGAGAGAAATTTAGGTGAGGGTATAAGCCCCACGACCTCATAGATTTTCTTCCGAATAATGTAACATGTGACTGAGGCAAAGAGGCCAGTGCCATCTTGCTCCAACTTACTTCCTGTTTTCTCTGCACCGACTGTGCATTGTAGCAAAACAATTTGGTCAGTCAACAGCTTTTCGACTGAATTTTCTGAGGTACTCCTTCTGTGACTGTGGTAACAGTAAGACGTGGTGGTGTCTGGTAGGTTAAAGGGCAGCAGTCGTCGTGTCGCGTCCTCTTCGACATGGGACTCATAGTGACGTATACAACGCGTGTAAAATACTTTGTTTATTTACATGAAATTCAAACATGCACTGCGCGACGACCATCACGCTTTAAATTTTTCTTATTAGGGGTCCTGTGTCCTTTTCTACCGGTCGCAAAAAAAAACTTGAATGATGCCATTGACCACATTTGTAGGGCGTCATTGTGTCAGGTTCAACTGTAACTGCGTACCACTCATGAGTCCCTTGTTCATTTCTCAGTGTAGTTAAAATGGACTAGAAGAAAGGGATGCACTCCAAGAAGAGCTTCTCACCTCCTGGGTCGTCGCCCAAAAATCAACTGGGTCTTGTGGGATTTGCCACATAGCAAATGTCACCATTGTTTAGAATATGTTCGAGGGGTTTTTGCCACAAGTGAGCGGCAGTCAGACAATATGGAGGGGGACCAAGCAGGGCAGGATGTTGATTTCATCTCTCCCCCACATCCTGCCAGCTAGGGATCATCGGTTGGAGCCAGTACCGTGAATTTTCCCTGAGCACTGTCTCCACTACGGGTCACCGCCACCATCCCCCACCACCCTGATAACCAGCAGGCATTCCTGGAGGGGACCAACCCAGTTACCAGGTGTTTGATCAGACACTTCCTCGCTCACTTCCTTAAAGTGAAGGGGGGTGACAATGTCTGAGCCTACGGGCTCGGGCGACCCCTCAGGCTCTCCGGAATGACTCCTTTAACTGCATTGTAGGGGGGATGCAGGAAGTCATCAGTACATACTGATACACCCAGCGAGTCATTGACTTCTTGAATTCGCCCATTTGGGCCAAGTATTCAAATTCGGGGTGCTCCCCTTCAGGTTATGCACGGCTCCATAAGTGTTCACCAGAGTGTTGAAACAGGTGGTGCTGCTGTTGCATCAGTCGTCGGTACACATTAACCCGTACCTAGGTGAATGGTTGCTACACAACCAAGACAAAGAGTTGTAGGCTAAACAAGTATTAAAGGCTAACACAGGATTTACCACACCAATTAGACTTTTTAGTAAATCTAAAGAAAGTCCCATTCATACCTGACATGTCAGTTTCTGGGCATGGAGTTGACACAGAGGTAGGCTTTGTGCATCCATCGCAATAAGCAGTCTACCTGAACGAGTAGCGAGTTAGCGTTCCCTCTGTGTCTCTTCGATAACTGACGCACATCATTGGGTTGACATCAGTTCATAGGGTAGTTTCCCAAGCTGCACTGCTCAGCCGTCTGCAACACCAGTCTCATCTACGGGAACTGGAGAGGCAAGTTACTCTCTAGGACCAAGCGAGGGATGCCTTGCCCTGGTGGATGGCAATTGCCAACCTCAGGCAGAGGACCCACTCGCCACAGCGATAACGAATGCCTCCCTCACAAGTTGGGGAGTGCACCTAATGGACAAACATGTCCAAGGAATATGGTCACTGCATTAGATTCAGGGTCGCCGTATCAATTGGCTCGAACTGAAAGCAGTACGTTTAGCACTGATGCGGACAACACAGTGGTGGTCTCCTATACAAAGGTGGGACCAGATCTACATCGCTGTCAGCTCTGGCAGAGCAAATTTGCCATTGGTGCCAGGAATGTAATGTGGAGCTAACTGCATATCACCTTCCAGGGGTGCAGAAAAGTCAAGCGGACACTCTTTCACAGTGACTCTGTTTTCAGAACACAGAGTGGCAAGTACCCCACGGCTGTGGGCGGTCCCAAGATGAACCTGCTCGCCACACCCTGGAATGCCAAGCTCCCGACATACATGACACTCTTGCCATGAACACATTATCGATCCTGTGGAGCCACATGGACGCGTATGCCTTTCCTTTCTTCCCGTTGATTCACCGGGTACTGAAAAAAACTTTGGCAGGAGCACACCTGCATCTTGACGCTCGTGCCTCCCAACTGGCCAACCAAGGCCTGGTTTACACTACTGTTCGAAATGTCCCAACCAGTCGGCACACTACCAATGAGCCCAGCGGTGTACGACTTAGACACATGGGGGCCCTCAGTAGACTCGCACAGACAGAAGGTTTATCTGAGCAGGCTGCCAACGTCCTGGCTGGGGCGAATAGAGGTTCCACCAACGCAGCTTATGACTCCAAGTGGCGGGCATATGTTAATTAGTGGAGTGGAAGGGAGGTTGATCCATGCCACCCCACTGGTGGCCAGGTACATGTAGCTGATTTTTTTTTTCGTTCGATTTTTTCGACAAGTTAGGTTTGTCATCCGCCATTTAGAAAACTTTGGGGACAAGACTAGCCGATTGTCCTATTGCTAGGAGACTGTTCTCTGCTTTTCATAATCAAAGGCCTAAAGCTCAATCTAGGGAACCTCCCAATTGGGACTTGTCGGTTGTGTGTTCAGCTCTGAGCAGACCACCCTTTGAACCACTGGAATATTTGATGCGGAAAACAGTCTTCCTACTAGCTCTCGCCTCTATTAGGTGAGTTAGGGGCCTTGTCCTTCTCAAATGGTTGTGTTGCCTTTATGGACAATCAAGCTGTACTAAAGACACAAATCGAGTTTCTAGCAAAGAAACAAATCCCAGGGCATGATCCACAGCTGATCGTCATCCCCCGTCTGGCCAATATTGTCGGCCAGGAGGATCAGGAGGAGTTGCTTCTATGCCCAGTTCGAGTTTTGAGTTGCTATGAGAAAAGTACTAGGGAGTCGGGGCAGGGTGACAAGCACATGTTCATGTATGCAGGAGGGATCAGCCTCCTCGACTTCCATTTCTAGGTGGATCACTTGAACAGTGTTTGAGGTTTATGACCGATTGGCGTCCTCAGCACAGGGTCTACAGAGAAACCAAGTACCAGCGCATGAGGTTCATGCAATCGCCAACTCATTAGCTCTTGTGTCAGGTGACCCCCGCAAAAGTTATTTAAAGCAGGCTTCTGGAAAACGCAAAAGTGTTATCAGTCAGCTCTCCCTGGACATCCCAGATCTCGCTTTTGGCATATGCCCTCATGCAGAACTGTTTTGGCCTCTTTTTGGAATTCTAGTTACCTCATGAATTGGGTTTGAGTCTAGCGTCTTTGCCGACCTTGTCACCCTTTCAGCAGTATGCTTTTACTATGGGACTACACTGGTAAAGTAAGACATTGTGTATCACTGGTCATAGCTAGGTTGTAGTCATAAGTAATTTTATTTTTCAAGTACTCTTTCGCTCGGAAACCTGTCACCTCTCGGCGTGTGACTCTACCTACATTTCAAAATAGTCATTTTGACTGTCCGTAGTCTATGGTGGGGAATTGAACGTGGTGAATTTAGGCAGTGAGTTTTCAACCTGCTTATTCACATAGTTCATACGCATCATAGACTTCGGGTCCTTCCCGACCACCCCACTTTCCTTAGAGATTGGCTTATGTCCTTGTATACAGAGAAAACAGTGAAGATGGGGTAAGATGGCGCTGGCCTCTTTGCCTCAGTCACATGTCACATGGCGTGGAAGAAAATCTATGCGGTCATGGGGCTTCCCCTGACCTAGATTTCTCTCTCCGTCATTGGCTGAATTGCAGATTAATGCCTATAGTTCAAAATTTTGACTGACCGGAGTCTACTGTGGATATGAACTATGTGAATATGCAGGTTGAAAACCCTCTGCCTAATTCTCACTGCTTTATGATTTTTGTAGAAGAGGGTGAGGTATGGAGTGATGATAGTGATGTAGCTAAGAAGTACGGAGAAGATGATGATGGAGTTGCTTTTGACAAACTTGAATTATTAGGTCAGTGTTGGAATGAGAAATACTGTATTTATTTTTATTAGAATCACATCAGTAATCGGAACACACCAAAAATTGCATTATTTCAGATCATTAAAATATGACATATTTTGTCTCTAGACGTACCTCTGTCATGTACATTTGTATGCACTTATAGAGCAAATATGGTACTGTGTCTTTGTTAATGTATATAGTAATTAAATCCTTGAAAGAGCATCAATGATCATGCACAACTGTATAAAGTTTTATGCATTTTTGAAGAATTATATTTAGATGCAATGGATTGACCTCTGTGTGCATACTCACTTCTTTCTTGGACATGCCTTGGACATACTAGCATATAGTAAACATACACCAGTCAGCCACAATTTATTACAATGAGCATCTCCATATATAGAATTACATGTCATTGATATGCTAATGTTGATTTTATATTTCAGATCATAAGGGGTCAATACAGTACAATCTTTGCATTTGGTGACCATTTTGTATCAGACCAGAACCACATCTCTGACATGTCTCACATATATACATCCACGTGTATCCAAATATATCATGCACGGTACAAATTGATAAACTATTCCATTCAATTGTCTAGGAGATCAAAAAGCAAATTTGGACAAATTTTATGCAACTTGTTAATCACGCCTGATTCAAAACTGATTACATCGAAAGATTATTTTTGATGAAAACATTTGATGCTCTTAAATTGTTATTGAGTTGATACTATTTTAATGTGCCATTATTTTGCACCTGATAAATTGTTTCATGGAGTGGCCATGAGCACATAACTGAGACTACAAAGTGTGTGTTAAGGGAGTATTTGATATGTGAACCAAGGTTGATGTAGACATGCAAATGTTTTTTGTACAGTATTGGAACTCATTAAACTTGCCAATTTCCAGCTGTTTTTTAAAGTGAACACAGGTGTTACCTAGTTCATGGCATTGCCAATGGTATAGTGATTAGCATGTTTACTTGTGCAACAGGAAGGTTCATTTAGCAGTATATATACATGTATATCTGAGTACAGTCTGTCTGCCATGCCTTCCAAATACATGGGAGGTGTGGAAGTCTGGTTTTCACTCAAGCACTTGCAATTAGCACCTACATTTTTGTACAACATAAAATGTCAGGAGAAACAGCAGTGACCGCTGTGTTCGTAAATGTCACAAAAATATTTTTTTTTTAAATATTAACTTGAAATAGACATGTGATATTTGACTCCTGCGTGTGAATGGGAGTCTTTGCAGTTAGTGTTTCTGCATGTGTATGTGTATGTGTCTGTTCCACTGATATTTAAAGAACCAATTGTCAGATTTTAATGAAACTTGGTACATAGATGCTCTAGGATAATGCTCAGACCTGGTTATTGTTCAGTTGAAATCCATGCAAATTAATTACCTAATTTGTATATATAATTAACCAACTTTAAGCATTTTCACTTGTATCATGTGCAATTAATCAGATTTCTGTTAATCTTGGTACATAAGTGCTCTGGGATAATGTGCAGACCTGATTAGTTTTAGGCTGAAATCCATGCATAATTAGCTAATTTGCATATTTTAAGAAATTTCGTATACTATTAAACAGATATCAATGGAACTTGGTACAGAGATGTTCTGGGATAATACACAGTAGTCATTAGTTTTGGTTGAAATCCTGTGCATATTAATGACATAGTTTGCATAATAAATAGCCAATTTCAAGCATTTTCACTTGTTTCACAAGTACCATTCAACAGATTTTAATGAAACATGATACATATATGCTCTTGGATAATAATTCTCAAACCAGATTAGTTTTTGGTTGAAATCTGTGCATATTAATTGGCCAATATTTACCATTTTCACAAATATCTCAACCACTCATTAGATTCGATGAAATTTGGTACATACACATGTAGATGCTTAGGGATAAGCCATATACAAGTTCAGTTTAGGGTTAAATTTTGTGCTTACTAATTACCTAATTTGCATAAATTAACTAATTTATAGGTGCTCCACAGACATTTTGAGTACCACTGATCAAATTTTAATAAAACTATGTACATAGGTGCTGTTATATACTGATTACTTCAGGGTTGAACTTCATGCATATTAATTACCTGTTATTAGTTTCATGTGTGTTTCTTAATATGCATATCTGTAATGTACTAAGCACTTTTGCAGATACATGTAGGGACATGTAGCCAGTGCTATAATTTTGTTGTCTGACAAGATATATGACCAAAATAGCAAGTCATCATATATGGTCATTATTAAAATAGCTACTTGAAACCACCCTAACCATTTGCTCAGACAAGTCAATGGTAAAAATAAGACATATTTCATTTATTTTGCATGCAATAAACACGCTTTATGTATAATGAAGATGTTCTTCTAATATAGTAATAAATATAATAATAAAGTATTCCCTATTTCTACTTCATGCCACCTTCAGCAAATGAGGGTTCTTTCTAAGCTTTCTTTTATTTGTTGATTTTGACCAAATTTTCATAATACAAATCACAGTATTTTCTCCAAGTTCCCTGCCCTTAACACGTACCTATCTGTGGAGATCAGTAGATAAAATGTGAATGTATAAAATAGAATAATTCCCTAAAACAAAAAGTAAGATTAATATTAGTTCACTCTATTTCTTTTTCTTTCCCACCAATAAATTGTACTGTTGAAAAACAACCTTTTTGTATTCAATTCAAAGCTACTTTCATTATTCCTGACTGGGTATATATATTTTGATTATTCCTGACTGGGTACCCAACCCTGACACATAACACAGAACAGCTTGTTTGCTGATAGGTTTTTTTCTGTTTGGTATATATACTTTGACTCCAACTTTCGATCAATGAAAAATCATAGGGTCCATGGAAAAACATGTGTGCATGTATTGATGTGTGTATTGACTACTAGAAACTTTTCCTTTTTACCTTGCCCGTAACGTCAAAGATGGAAGGGAAAGGTTTATTAAGGGAATAATTTCTGTCAGGCATTGTTGTTGTCGTTGCTGTCGTCGTTAATAATTGTTATTGTGTGCACAATAAGTTTACTAATTCTATTCCAAACTTTATCAAACTTGGTCAACTTATTCATCAGTATAAAATCTTCCCTGAGTATGAACAGCAGATGTCCTGTATGAAAATATCATGCAACAATTGAGAAAATCTGATAAAATATTTTGACTGTTTCTACACATTCAAAGGTCACTGGTCTCAGTGGAAATATGCATTGTTGTCTGTATTCAATGAAGCAAATCATTTATCTTGTAATAATATCGTTGGTAATGTATCTCCCAAATCCCATGGGAATATTAGACTGGGTTTCAAAACCAACTCATGGAGAGCGTTTTTTCACAGTCTGATACACATTTGCAAACCTACCAAACCTACAATAAAATCTTTATAGAAAAACAAGATGTCAGAAAATCAATATAAGCACTCCTATGAATTGGATGCTAAACTGATCTGAAAGCTATTAGAAAATCTGTTTAGTCCAAAGTTAACAAATCAAAAATAATACATAAAAAAATATATAAAAAGCAAGATGTTGCATCCACATTTTGAAAAGAAAATTGTACTCAAAAATAGGTATTCTGTATTTGACAAACGGTTCATTTGACAAATGAAAATGCACAGGAATTTGTTTCAGCTATTAGAACAGAATGATAGAGCTTTTATAATAATACCGTACTCGACCGCGTAAGCGCCCACCCCCCGCTTTTGCTCAATTTTTGACTCCCATGTGCAAAACGTCTAAATGCAACACTTTTTTTCTGAGATGAGGCATTTGATTTTATACTAAAATATATGAATTACTTTGAATAAAGCTGGAAATTATGTTCTTTAAAATAATTGAACAAATTAGGGCCAATGTTTTGTAATATATTTACATCTATCAAGGAAATTTAGTAAACTGTTTCCAACTGTTTCAAACCCAAAACGTGCTTGTTTTCAAAATGAATTATGACAATGCATATTCACATTGAAACAAACTATAATGTAGGAAATAATATTTTATAAAAAAGGGTCACCAGAGTTCAACTATGTTTAGCTTTCCTATCTTTGATGACAGAGCGGAGCTGTTCAAATAAATAATTGTCAAGTCATCGCCTGTCAAAAATTGTATGTTTGACTTCTTCTTTAATACTAGCAGAACAATTTTTTTGATACTTGGTGTGTCGGTAAATGTACCTTGGGTGGAACTTTGTCAGATTTGTTCATTTCGTAAATAAATTTGTGTCTTCTTGAAAACTATCAGCTCAATTGCTTTGATACTTTGTATGTAAGTATCTTGAGACAATTACTAAACAGACACAATCAATGCAACAGGAAATAGCAACAACAGTTATTACGTTAGAGACAACAAAACTTTTAGTAAACATAAGGTATTACACAGATTATATTGGTTAAAATGACCTTTGGTAAGTCTTGATTGTAATTGGTCCATTAGTAACACTGATGATTGGTCAAAATTAACGACCCCTGATTGGTTAATTAGACGGCCGGTAGCTAGTTTCTGATAGTTACAACCAAATAAACTTGTGGAAACACTAATAACCATGGCAAATAGTTAATGTCTTATTGCACAAATCATCATTACCGATAGTCTTCGGTCGGACACAGTCCGAAAACGGGGACTCATGTTTTGACCTTTGTGCATCCGTGCATGCGTCCGGACCTGTATCTTAGACATGCCTGGAACATTCACAATCAAACTTCTAACATACATCATACATGATATTATACATATGAACAAGATGGTCATATGTTTCAAGATGGTCGAATGGCTGCCATTATTTTGCTAAAAAATCATCAAAATCAAGCATTTATGGATGGATTTTGTTTAAACTTGGTACATACATGTACGTTGGACAATATTGGTCTTTGATGCACATCATTTTATTTTTCAGATCCAATTTTAAATGGCTGACTGGCGGCCAATTTGTTTTAATGAATGCAGTTCTAGCACCATATCTCTGCCATGCTTTGACTGATTATGTTCAAATTTTATATATTCATTATACATCATGACATAGATATATTGGTTTGACTATCTGATTCAAAATGGCCAAATGGCAGCCATTTTAGCACTAAAAAATCTTCAAAAATCAAGCATTTCTGGCATTCCAGAACTGGATCTTGCCGTTTATGGATGAATTTTTTTAAACTTGGTACCTACGTTGGACATTATGGGACCTTGATGCACATCATTTTATTTTTCAAATTGGATTGAAAATGGCTGACTGGCAGTCATTTTTTTTAAATGAATGCGCTTCTAGAGCCATATCTCTGATATTTTCAAATTTTATATATTCATTTTGCATCATGCAAAACTGGTGGGCATTTTGTTTTAATTAATGCTGTTCCAGAGCAATATTTCTCAATATGAACAAGTACTCATTTGACGATCAGATACAAGATATCAATCATTTTAATGTTAAAAAATAATCAGAATCAAGCATCATCTTCTGGATCCATACTTCTGACATGTTTATGTTCCAACTATACTACTATAAACGAAACTATATATCTTAAATTTGATAACTAACGAGTATTGTGCCATGCATGGCTTGTCAACTTTGTTTTGAAAACAAAGACAGCTGAGCTCTTTCAACGGTCGCTTGTATCACTCTATCATCATGAAAGCCTTAGCTATAGATATAAATAAATACATATGGAAAACAGTGTAAATTTGTTCTATTATATGAAAAGAAGGTGATCAGCATTTAAATGGTTCCTGCATGATATTATGTATTAAATATGTATTTTTTTGTTTTTAGAGCCTATGCTAATTATACACCCTACTTACACTATGAACAAGGTTATAATAGTTGCACTCCTTCATGTTGAACTTGTGGGTATAGTGGCAGTGGTTCTATTTCTTGTTCGCCTTCCCTGGGTTTCTTTTGTACACTGAAACCTTCACTTCTCCACTGTAGGTGAATCACAGGAACTGAAGATGTTACTAGGAAACCATCATCTCCGTAATCTTATCAATCATATTGATGGAGCAGACAACAAAGAGTTAGTGATGGGGAAAGCTATGCAAGAGCCTTTATTCCTTGAATTTGCTAATGAATGTCTCAAAGTTGTGGAAGAAAAAAACACAATCACACTGCATTGATATATTGTTTTCATGAGGTTTAGCATACTTGAAAATTTGTATCAATTACATTAAAAGTAGACAGGTGTTGTGTAAATAGGATTTGTTCATTTTGTGACAATAAATTTAGTTAATATTCCTGCCATTTTTTTTACCTCTAATTGCCTCAATATTTTATGTATAATTTTCTTTGGTAGATTTTCTAACGATAATTTTAGTTCTCTAAGATTAGTGAATATTCTTCTTTCATTTTTTGGGAAAAAATATTTCTGGTGTCTTTTTGAAAACCACCAGCCCAATTATTTTGATATTTTATATGTAGGTACCTTAGATGGATTTAATTCCTTCTGCTATCAGATCAATTTATTTAGTGTTGCTAAGTAAAATTATTATGATTATCTTATGTTTTTGTTTTTTCTGGAAAAAATAAATTTATACTTAAAAAAATCTTTAAAATTGCTGGACTGATTTATTTGATATTTATCTTTCTTATCTAAAACAGTAGAGCTATATCAGTTTACAGACTGCTTGTTTACATTTACAATTTGTCACTCTCTTGTGCAAAATGGGTATCTTTGCAATTAGCTTGTATAGCCAGTGGCGTGTGTGGTAACAACGTTGTGAAGACTTCAATTTAACTTTACACCGACTTGTGACGACAGGACCTACATTGTGACGACCGTCACTATATTCATAATTTATATCATTATTCAATCGAATTTAGTCAAATTTGTGAAGCTTTGGTTTAGTAAAGGGGGAGGTATAGTTCAATTTATATTAATATAATTGTACCATACATGTACCTTCCCCCTTTACTAAACCTAAGCTTTGCAAACATTTCTATGTTCAGTCACGTGATATTCAGCTTTTATTTAATTAAACGCAATTCTATGTTGAATTGTATTGAAATTGAGTTTAATTAAACTCCAATTAAAACGCAACCTTATATAGGAATGCGTTTTAATCAAGTTGATATGGCAACTATGTTAAAAGTTAATCCAATGCAAGTCATTACAACGACGGTAAGACGTGTGTGTGTGTTACCTAATTTGCATAATAATTAGCTAATTTTAGCTGTTCCATGACTGTTCCACTGATATCTAAAGAGCATTCATTGGATTTTCATTGAACTTGGTACATAGATGGTCTAGACTAATGCACAGACCTGATTAGTTTGGGGTTAAAATCCGTAGATATTAATTATGCAAGTCCTTGTATACTGTGTTCTCCAGGATAAATATCTGATTATTCGGACACATGAATTTAATGCTGTATGGTGACAACATCTTCTGAATGCCGATATCACGTGTGTGTTAAATATTTCTGTAAATATTTCCGATAATAATGGTGACGTAATAAAAGTTTAAAACCAAGTGAATAAATACAATTAAACAAAAACATTGGATATCTAAATGCCCATGTAAAATGGCAACTGGCCAAAAAAATCACCGTTTTTCCTCCTGAATAAACGGTTTTAACCGACTATCAATACAAAAACACAAACCTCTACTGTCAACACTTATTGTTATGAAATAACTGATGTCAACACATATAACGTTAGATGTAAATTTCACAATTAAAGAAAATCATTGTGTTCTCTTATGCCAGTTACGTATATTAACAATAAATCACAGTCCCTCCACAACTGTGAATAAACGTTGCTTCCTTATGTGTTACCCCCACTATTTTCTTGATCTGATTGGGAGATATTTCTGTATGGCTTCACTTACATGTGTGTCAGCAACATTACTTGTAACGCTAGTTTCAAATACTGAAGATCGTTTATTTTAAAGAAGGAGCCGAAACGTCCGCCCTGGTCGAAACGCTTGTCCGAAACGTCCGGCATTCCTTGAAATGTGGGTGAACGCGTCGGGCCACGGCGAGGAAAAGTGCGTGAACGTCAGCGTTTGATTGGATAATAAAATAATTGAGAGCGAAACACAGCAAAAATTCAGAGTGTGACTTGAGTTATCGTGATTGTTATAATTACGACATCATATTAGAAAAATGTGGTTGCAAAATATTTACAGCCCATTTATTACGCAAATCAAATTGCAAGATAAGTTCACAGAAGTGTGAAGTCAACACCGATCACAAAACATTTAGACAGTTAATTAAAGACAATTGCCAATGTCAGTGGTGGGGGAAGAGGGTGGTTGAGAGGGCGTCACCCCCTCTAAAATCAAGCTGAAACGTACTTTTGTATCAGCAAAATTTGCCCCTCAAAATACCGGAAATAGCGTTTCAGAGGGTCTAGATTTCACACTGATGAGCAGATCTAGCCCCTCCATGCAAAATTTCATGCCGCCGCCTCTGAACGTGCTGCACAATTTTCTGTTTGACCGATGCATCGGTTTTCGTGCCACGTTCTTTCAACATCTTACATAACATAAACTACATGGCCTCTACAAAACGTTATTCAGATTCTCGAAATATTTGAAACACTTACCCGACGCATGGAGCTAAACAAAAGATTCCCGACGTTTCTCTCTCTTAGAAAGCCGACGCGGTGAACATGGGCTGGTCCAGAATCTAGTTCTTTAAAAAGTGTTAGTACTGTGCCAGGTTTAATTTTTCTGCACTTGTCTTTAAACCCAAGTTGTTCTTTTATAAATAAGGCCAGCTATTCGGCGTAAGAATCTGCGGTATGAAGGTATAAGGAGAATGCCCATCTCAACCTTTTCTCATTGATTTTACGGCTTGTGTCTACTGATCGTTTGGAAACGCAAAAATTGTCACACTATTACTGTACGCATTGCTAAGCCCACCAAAAAATCCGTTTCAAAAAAGCGGTGACCGAAATATATATATATATCATTAACAGTTTCGTTAAATGACGCATTTCAATGTATTACCGGTATAAAAGTACAGCGCAAGTGTATGGCTTTCTCTCATACTTTGTCTTTTGGTGTCGCCCATTCGTACTTCGGCTAGAGTCGGAAACATTCGCGAGTCGTGTGTCTACAACCATAGACCCTCCAGTAGAGGGGAGGGTCTATGCTACAACACAAGAAATATCTCAAATTTACCCGGACACGAGTAATCATTTTCAACCAAAAATCAATAACTGCCTATTTCAGCGAAACAAAAATCCAAATTGGGAAATGTGTGGGTGTACATTTGATGTATGTAGGGCGGAATTAAAAAAAAAACGAAATCAAAGTAAAATATAATAAAATAAAAAGGCATCAATAACAAAAGTAATAAAAAATTAAAATAAGTTTATAGCCAAAATAATTAAAGCCCGTACACTACATCAGATTTTAATCAGATTGCGACGCACCAAGACTTCAAGTCGCCAAATTGATCGGCCACTTATATTCACTGCGGTTAAAGTGGCGAGAGTGTTATTTGCGTTGAAATTACGTTTTCCAAAAAAAAGTATTTCTTAATGTATGAAGTGTATTATAAATTTTCAAATGCTGAATTCGAAATGCCATGTAAGTTGGATAAAATCATCTGATCCTGGTAAAAACTTTACAGTCCATCTATCCCCGGTCTGGAAACGCTTGGCAGTCTATTGCCCCAGGACTGGTTGTGGGTAAATAAACCGTTCACACTTTGGACCTATTATGTCCTGAAAAATCTAAATTCATTAAGTTTCGCTAATTTTATAGAAGCTATTTATCCATTTGACATTAGTTGGTGGATGTAAGGTATAATGAATGTGATCCAGATCATTATCTATCAGAAATTTATGTGTATATTTTGGCCAGTTCCGTGGTAAGTCATCTTTATTTTTGTAGGTTTTATTGAGTTCCTTGAAGACGTTTTCGTTCACCTTACTTCATCCATTTTCTGTAATCTATCAAGTATTTCAAGTATTTCTGTTAACTCTGAAGAAAAAATGCACCAAACTGGTATTGTATATTTTTTAATTGTTTGTTGTCTGTCTGCTAATTGGTAGCATTATGAAATTTTTCCATAGTACATCTCCATATTCTAAGCGGTTGAAACTGTTTTGTTGGTTAAATAGGGATTTGGAATGAGCCACCATTTTCATTCCTTTTGTGTATGATTTCTTAAAGTGTTCATGGTCTTTTTAGGATCTTGTAATAGTCACACCTACTAGTAATTGTATGAGTTAGTTTCTTTTAATTTTAATTTACCCAATGACCAGTTTGTATACCAATTGTGTTGTCTTCTGTCTTCTCTGATTTTGATTGATTGAAACTTAAAAATAATGAATTGGAATAACGCCAAATTTACACAGCATTAAAAAGGAATGCGTACAGACAAACAAAATTCATATATTATCTTTCAACGTGATAGTTTAACAGACTACTGAACTGATATTAATAGTAAACGTGAACAATCAGCTTCTTAGCGCAAGAATAATCGCGTAATTTAGTTGTTTTCAGAAATAGTATTGTTTTTATTTTTGAGCGTGTCACGTGTCACGGAACGTATATACAAACATTATTTTTTTTTTAAAAAAAAAAAGCTTGAACCCAGAATGGGGCGCAATATTAATTTTCTTTATGGCACAGAATGAAGAGCGCAGAACATGGCACAGAACGATGGCACTCTCAGGTTTCGAAAAGTACAGATTTCGATCCCCACACATACATCGTAGTTTTTAGAGGGTCGGCAAGGGGTATTTTCGTAAGCTGTTATCAATTGATTTTATTTTCGTCATTTTTGTATGTCATTTAAATAAATAAAATACGGAATTTCGTAGACATGGGCAAGGTGTTAAATGTATTCAGCTATTTTATTCATCCTCAATTCGTACAAAGATCTTATTTTTTGTAAGTGTATACAGCATAATATCGTAATTCGTACGCAATTTCCAACTTGTAATTGCTCTTTTGAGACTGGTGTTACTGTTCAATGAAAATAGATCTTTTGTTGGTAAAACATAGTTTCTATGTCATCATGAAACGATAGAAACTTCAACTATAATTGAATGTTTTTTAAACTCATAGTTGCTGTCGACATAGGAAGTAAAGTAAGCAAATAA